GGGGTGGGACCCTATGAGATTCCCCCCTCTTCCACATTATGTGTCTGTATTGCCATTGTTCAGATGTCCTTCATGCAGCCATTTGATTGTTTGGAGACTGTTTCACAGCAGATTTCCTGGTGTTCTGGCTCTTCCAATCTTCCCATCCCCTCTTCCAAGATGCTCTTTGAGCTACAGATGCAGGAACATACATATTGTGGGTATCCACTGGGGCTTGGCTCCCCAGGATCTGATTCATAGATCTCTGCATTGCGTCCGGTTGTGGCTTGCTGTCAGGGTCTCCATTTGCTGTAAAGAGAAGCTTCTTTGGTGAGGGGCAATCACTACGTTTATCTGTGCAACCCCAGTTATTTTCCAGAATGAACCACTCCCATTTTGGCACACTTGTTTCTACCCTATGGTCATAGTTTTGACATAATAATAACTAGAAACCGTGTAGAAGATACTTAGATGAGGCAAGCATCACTCACAGGGGTGACTCAGAGGTGACCGAGGGGAAAGAAAGGCTGAGTATGACACCCTGGTGTTGGGGATGAGAGGTAACATGTTCCTAGTTTCAAGGTCTATCTACAAAAGGTACAGAACTCCTGGGCTAGCACACAAGGCCCACCACCTCTGGGGGCTTAGCCCCTCCTGGTTATCTGCACATGGACGCCATGCAGAGGCGATGTCTTGGTCTTTGCTTCCTTGGGGACTGTAAGAATCTGGCTGGCAGAGAATGATACAGTCACGGTCCTGCTGTGTGCTGACTGATTCTGCCACTGCTCTGAAACTCAGGCATTATTTCCAGCTCAACTGTCTCTGGCAATGAGACCTCTGGGAAGTAATAAAGGTTGGATTGTGTCAGAAGGATGGAGTGCTCACATTCAAGATCCATCTTCTTATTTTAAAAGGAAGAGACACACCTACTCCCACCCCCACCCCCCATTATTCTCTCTGTTCCTGCTTCCCAACCACCTTTTACCAAGACTGAAGAATCTGATCTCTGGCTTTCAGCTTGGAGAACTTTCTGTTGTTTGAGTCACTCAGTCTGTGGTATTCGCCACAGCAGCCCAAGGTGACACGGGTTCTCTCTAACACCCATACGCTGCTCCTGCTGCACATCGTCCCAGGGTTCATCAGCAGCAGACTCTCTCTTTGCTCCTCAGTACTGAGAAAGCTCCTTGTCATCAGGCCCTTGAGCGACAGCAATACAAATGAGCCCCACAGAGAGGGCAGAGCAACATTTCACTGCCCTGTGCCCAGCAGGAGGGGAACAGCCAGAGGGGAGTGAAAGTCCCATGGAAGAGGCCAGTTCCAGTCCTGGTACTGTCCTTGCCAGCTGAACCTGAAAGACGTCCCGGAAGCAGGAGTGAACTGCATAACCTCATGCCTCTGCCTGGAAGCCTCAGTAGATCTGCTGTGGTCTAATTAGCCCAGCTAAGGAACTGCTAACAGTTACTTGTGTGACAGATTTTTGACTCTCACAGTGCACCAAGGACCAGTGGTGAGCTTCTGTCTTGCTTGCTTAGAAAGAACGCAGAATAAATAAACCCAGAAAAGTATCCCCCGGTTGTCCATTATGCTTCAGACTAACAGAAAGTAGAAGGCGTTAAGCGAGATGGAGTCCCTACCACTTTGAAGTCTAAGAATACAATTTTGAGAGAGAAAATGCAGAACAAAGAGCGTACATGTCTGGATACTTGTAATATACGATAACCCATCTGCACCAATACATTTTAGGGAAAAACACACACACACAGCAAATGGAAACTTCTCCCCACGTCTGGCAAAAAGCCACCACACAGCTCTGCTTTGGGAGAGACTGTAAACACCGTGGTTGTGTCTGGTTTTACATTACAGGTTATTTGCAAATATCTAACTTTGATTACAGTGTAGCTTTTTAGATTTTTATCACAGAAACTATTTCAAAGAGACTTAGTATACAAATGATGGTGGAGAAGCTTGTAAAAACAAACTCTCAAGCTTCTTGAAGTCTGAAAAAAACTCAAAATAAAAACATTGGATAAGCTGAGAACCCCCAGATCCATTTCTCTGGGGTTTGTTCTTTCCTGAGGGACCTGCAAGTAGAATGCATGTTTGCGGCTGTTCATTTTTGTCTCACTTGCTTAGCTTAGTTTTTGAGACAGGGCCTTTGTATGCTGCCTGGACTGGTCCTTCTGCCTCCGCCTCCCAAGTCCTAGGATGATCGATGTGCCCTGCCACACCGAGCTAAGACCAGTTTCAACTGTGAAACTACATGAATGGAGAGGAGTCAACTTGGCCCCCCACATCTCTGGGTAGGGTGACAGGAGAAACCATGAGTGTACCCTAAAATGCAAGCAGCTACAAACTGGGGTCGGAGAGACGGCTCAGCAGCTAAGAACACTTCCTGCTCTTCGGACCCAAGTTCTATTCCCAGCACCAAGGTCAGGAGACTCAGAACTGCCTCTAACTTCTGTTCCAAGGGGTCTAACATCCTCTTCTGGCCTCCTTGGGTGATGGCATCCACGCATACACACACACACACACACACACACACACACATACACACAAAGAAAAGTGAATCTTTAAAACAGAAAGGAAATACAAGTTGTTCACAACTGGACAAAGGCCCCAGCCCATTGTGGTATCACACTGCAGAGCAGCCGTGGTGACATCAAAAGCTGCCACGAGAAAGAGCCATGGTCACAGAAGTGCCATGCCTCACTCTAGGCCCACTCAGGGGCCACCGTAGTCAGGCAGAGAGTGTCTGCCTGCCGTGTCCTTGCAGAGGGGTCTCTGATGCTGGCTTTCTAGACCAGTAGGTTCAGCTAACCTTCCGTGGGTGGCTTCTGACCTTCCCAGAATGCACTGAGGGCCTACCATGGTGCAGAGCACTGTGAAAGGAAGAAAAGGAAAGAATTAATTGGGAAGTGGATGGTGAGTGCAGCTCTTGCTTGTATTGGGGGCAGTTTGGGGACATCCAGACACCTTACCTCTGGGCTTCTCTCCTGGTTCCCTGACGGGCACTCGGCAAGCATTCACTCTTCCTTCCTAGTGACGCCACTGTTTCTTCCTTTCCTGGATCAGCCACCAGGATATAAGACCAGCATCTGTGACATTCTGGCCCTGGGAAGGAAGGCTCTTCGCTGTGGTGTTTGTGCTTTGACACGAACAATAGCAGAAGAGTTCTGTGGTAAGTGAGAAGCAAGGCAAATCTACAGATAACATGGCTCAGAGAACGGGATGGATCCCCCAAGATCTGCAGTGTGGGCCTCTCCCCGGCTGTTCTGGTCCCTTCTGGTCATGTGAGTCTATCCATCACTTTGCTGGCTGAGCCTCAGCTTCCTTGTCTGTCAGATGGACCTTCCAGTCCGGGTCCAGTAGAGGACTCACAGATGTGGAAGCAAAAATTTACAAGCACTTCGGGAAACTTGAGACGCTATTAATCACTGATAGTAAAAGGCTAAATGTACGCCAGGGTCCCTGAAGCTGCCCTGACACTGTTAGCAAGCCTGATGGGTCTGACTCTGGTTCCCTGGAGCGCCTGTTGTAACATGGGGCCACCCGAGAGGGACCGGGCGCAGCTTGTCTTTTGTGGCACAGGATATGAGCACACTTGCCCACCGACTTCCTCTTAGAATCGTGAGGCAAAGGTTTCCATCTTCTTTACAGTGGACCTGAGCCGAATCTCTTCTCTCTGCCAAGCGCTGGGGCCTTGAGTGTCCCTCTGTGAGGGCCACTCCCATGTGTCAGTGGGAACCGGATCGGCAGGAGCTTAGTGGTATTACTTGAGGGGAACCTACAGGAAATAATTTAAGAAGATAATGAGGGGGATTTCTCCTGTCTCGAAATGAGGCCCGTGGGTCTTTGCAGATGATATTATCCTCTCAGATTTAGAAGTAAGTGCAGAAAAAGGAGCCTCCGCCATTAGCTAAATCAGGGTAATTGGCCACAGAAACGCCTGTAGAGCAGCGTGTACTTTATCGCTTCTAGCTTTACCCAATACCCCCAGCCCTGCAGACCACCCTGACATCGAGGATCCACTCCCCTGTCTCCAACCATCACCCACAGTCTGCCTGGACCTGAGCTTTCCTATTTCAGCTAAATTTGCCCACTTGTTTAGAAATTGATTAAAACTAAATTGTAAGTTAATTTCTACTTAAGTGAAGGGCAATAACTTGATGTGGTACACTCTTCCCCACAAACAATCTTTTCTTTTCCTTATTCTTTCATTTTAAGAGTGTTTTACTCTGTTGCCCAGACTGGCCTTCAGCTCACTATGGAGCCCAGGAAGGCTTTGAACTTGTAACCTTCCTGCCTTAGTTTCCACAGAGTTAGGATTATAGATAACACTATACTATAATCACTATAACACTATACTATAACACTCCACTCAGCTGAATAATTGTTATTTCAACAAATAACTTAAACACCAAAGGCAACTACTGTTCAAATTCAACCCTCACAGCTGTGTGCATAGAAAGTCATATTAAAGGATGGGGTTGGGGTGGGGAAATCATTTAATACCTAGGAAAGCAAAAACCAAAAAAGACGGATGGATCAGAGAGTAAAATCAAAGCCCTCGTGAAAAAGGAACTTATCTACCAGGTCATGAATGAATGAATGAATGAATGAATGAATGAATGAATGACGCTGAAAATCACATCCTCCTAGAGATGACCAAGCACACTTGGCCAAAACACTTTCCTTCCAGACAGAAGAGCTAAAGTTTGGGCTGCCACCTACCAAATAGACTCCGGGTAAGCAGCTAAGCAAAGTCTTGCTCCACAGGGTTCTGGGGCCTAAACTTGAGTCCAGCGTATGGGGGCCCCGATGGGTCAAAATGAGGTTATTCATTCCTCCCTGCTTTTCTGTCTTCTGTGAGACACTGTCAGGGCCAGCTTCAAAGGCCAAGGGCAGCTTTCATCACTCCCACGATGAGTCTGAGGGAGGCATCATCACAAGAGCCTGGACAAGAAGCGCCCCCTCGCTTGGTTCTCACGATCCCCCACTTCCTATTCCCTGGCCGACACCCTATCTCTGATCAGAATCCAGTAAACATTAAAGAGTCTGCTCCGTGCCATCACAGATTAAGTGACACCCGTTAAGGGCTCCATCTTTCACTTTGAAATGAATCCCCTCCCAGCCCTGCTCTTTGTCCCATGAGAAGAATGTGGACGGAGCCACTGAGATTTCTTTTTCACATCCAAACAGGGCAGAGCAGATCTTTCAGCTGGTGGGGTGGGGTGGGGGAGTGTTGGGCTGTCTGGAGAGATTAAAGCAACACTTAATTTTGCAGAGTTTTCATCTTTATGGCTACGACGGCTTCTTAGCCTGGGGAACAGTCATCGCTCAGAGACAACGAGGACCAGAAAAGCTGAGTTGCAGGGAGTGGACAGAGCTCTCCCAGGCCAAGGGAGGGAGCTGCCACTTTACAGCTGAGTCCATTTCCCCACACTATAATCACCTCCGCAAGCCCTGATCTTAGAAAAACTTAAGCCAACCTGGGTGGTACCTGAGACTCAGCACTCACCCCTCCCCAGGTATGGGCACAGCAGAGAAGGAGGAGCTCCCTGCACATTGCTTCAAAGCCAGCAGAAAGGCAATGTGGAGGAAGCTGAGCAGCCTCCCAGGAGCCAGGGGAAGCCTTCCTCCTTCAGTCTGCAGGGAGAGTCCCTGCGCCTCACCTGGCAAATCTACACAGAGCTCTAGTTACATGGGAATCATTGCCAGCGCTTGCGTCACCTGACTGCATATGGCTGTTGCTGGGAGGCTTACGAGGGTACTGATGCGTCATCAAAGCTGGAGGGGACGAGTTTCAAGGTGGTGTGGGGGTGAAGGTCACCCTGGAACACTGCAGCCTCAGCAGTCAGACATATATCTCGAAGCTGATGACTGCACAGTCACATGGCTTCTGCAGGAGCCTGATACCAGGATGAGGGACACAATGGATTCTGTGTTTCTTTAATGTTCAAGTCTCAGGTCAAGAGTAACATAACCCCACCCCCACTCCCATGACATGAACTGAATAAAGGAAATAAGTTCTTACCAAGCTCCTCTTCTCTATGTGACTCATCAGCTAATTGTGTGCGCAGGTCTAGGAAGAGGCTTTCTGGGTAGCCAATAGCCCAGGACCACAGACAGGCACACTGGTCAGGAGCTACCACTGGCCTTTGATTTCTGTGAGGCTGCTGACTTTTCTGACTGTGAGACTTGCTGGTTTTTGTTTAGACTTCCCAAGATCTGCTCACTGTTTTCCCCCTACCCCCAGTTTGATAAAAATCATGTGCATTATTTTTAGGTTGCAAAATAAGAATAAGCTCACAAAGACATATTTGTTGCGAAAGTTGCTGCCAAAAGCAAATAGCTTTGTAGCTGAGATCCTGAAATTCTATTCTGAGCCCTGGCTCCCACCTCCCATCTTCATCAACATTTTCTGATGTAAACAAACCGTACAGAATGTGATTTTAAAATAATCATGCAGACTGTCTTAGAGACACTGTTTTCTCCACTATTAGTAGTCAGCTTAGGGAGCTACTGTTTGGGAGGATTTTTAGACACGTTAAGTGAATTCTAAGAATGTGGAAATGAGTTAGAAGGGCAGAGAGAACAAGGTTGGCAGATTCACAGCAGTCAAGGTCTGCTGGGCAGATGCCCCTGATAGATCTAACCTGTCTCCATGGGACCAGACATCAGGCCACATGCTCAGAGTCCTAGACAATTAGACCACTCTTCCATGCAAACAAGTTTTCCAGTTCTGGGATTTTCTTGTTCAAAAAAGGGATGTGTTGCTTTGGAAGGGAGTGAGCATCTTGTCCCTGGGAGAATTCAAGCAGAAGCTAGATGACCTCCTGGAGGGAAATTAGGAAGTGGATTTCCCTTGCAGTGCTTCATGCCTGAGAACACAGGCTGGAGGGGGCGAGGGGAGTGGGGACCAACAGGAGGGAACAATGACAGCAGAGTGTACCAGGTCGAGTGAGGGAACTGGCTCCCTGCAAGATCAGTTTCTCAGCACCTTGGTTCCTCCCTGAGCGCGCACCTGTCCATTGCTCAACTCCGTCTCCATGTCCCCACTCCTCTGGCCACACCTAACCTCCCTTCGCTGATGCCAACAGTCTCCTGGCGGAGCCAAGAAACAGCTCCCCAAGGGGCTCATACTGAACGCTTTGGGCCGTGGTCTGGCAGAAATAGACAGATGCCCCCAGGGCCCCTGGAGAAGTGTTCAAGAACCACCCCCCCCCCCAGGAAATTGTGTCCCTATCACCTAAGCTGGGTGCTTAGGATAGGTATTGGGTGCTCTGTAGACCTCATTAGCTGTCGGTGGTTTCAGGAGCAGCCTGGGCATAACTGAGAGGTATGTCTCCTATTTCCCATGACATTTCAGGAGCTCCATCCCTTTGTGCTCTGGGGACTCCTAACCCATGCTCCCTGTTACTTTACCCCTCACTCATCAAATGTTATTTTCTAGGGGTTTTTGACACCTGGAAAAGCCAGCTGAGTTTCTTTAGACATTTTTCTCAATGTACCATGAATCTGTGAGACCAAAAACCAGGTGGCATTTGTGCCTTCATCCAGGCGCCTGTGGACAGTTTCCTGCATGATACTAGTTAGTAGGTCAACTGGGACTGTGACAGGAAGCAAACAGCCAAGCCCTGTGTCTCCACACTGCCCTTCGGGTCTTGCCTCTGGGGATGGCTCAAGTCCACCAGAAAAGGCAGTAAGCACAATCCATTTCCTTACTCAGAGACTGTTAAAGGAGCACGTACTAAATGTCGAGCATTGTGCTGAGGCTAAGCATCCACTACGGACAACACTCAGTTCTTGCCATTACACTTACATCCCAGAACAGGAGATAACTGCATGATGTAATAGTTCAGGGTTCCACAGAGGAGCAGAATTACAGAAGGAATATACATTACAAAGGCCATTTATTAGATTGTCTAACATGACTCAGGTTGTCTTCCTTAGAGAGAGACTGAGAACCAGGAACTGCTCAACCCATGAGGCTCCATGCCTCACTAGTCCCAATCTGGTGCTGAAGGACTGGAGGATTCCTGGAGATGCACAGGTCTCCAGTCCATGTTGCAATTGGGAAGGAGCAGGTTCCACTGACAGCTACAGCAGCCGCAGAGCAGATGCACTGACCAGCGGGAAGCAAAGTTGGGCAAACAAACACAGCAGATTTCCCCCTCAGACTTTGCATCTGAGCTGCTCCTGGCAAGTGGCATTCATGCTGGAGAAGAGTATTTCCCCTTCAGTTAGGACTTCCAGGAAACCACCACATGGACTTGCCCAGAGGTGTGTCTGTTAGTGGATCACCGACATCGAGCTGACAAGCAGGATTAACAACCACACACCATTTAGACCATTGTCAAAAGTAGTGTATTGTGGAGTGAAGGAGATAACCACTATCTGGGTGGGCGTGGGGAGAGACCTTGGGGGAGGAACCACGTGGGCACCTTGTGACGTGGGGATACATCCTCAGTTGAGTTTGGATGCCTTTCCCACCTTCTGGCGGTAATACCATCCAGGTTGAGAAGTGGAGCACACAGAAAAGCAGGGACATGATATTTGGGCGGCTGAGTTCCATCCATGAGACAGCTGTGTTTTTTCAGCACCAGGCTCCAACCAAGCCCCAGAGGAGTAGGGGCTCTGGTCCCAGGCTGCATTGCTGCTATGGTTCGTGGGAAACTAGGACCGCGTTAAGGATGATTTTATCTTCACCTCCCTGAATTAGAGATGACGCTGCTTTTTCAAAGTTTCAAATCTGCCTCCATTAATAACTGATTTTCTTTGTGCTTTGTTTATGATCAAAATAACTATATTTTAATTTGTGTTTTTATTTTCTTTATTCGCATGTGTTACTTGCACAGACGAGTGGGTTTTACTGTGACGCTTCCATGCATGCCTGTCTTCCTGTTTGTCATGTCGCCTCTCTCATACCCTCTTTTCCTCCTCTTTCCTCATGCCCTCCTTTGCCTTCTCTGGCAGCCCCTCTTTTTGTTCTCTATCTGAGAGAAAGCCTGCAACACCCTCTGCCTTGACTGAAATCCTCCACTGTGTAGACCACACCTTCCTACCCACTCAGCTCTCGTGTGCCGGGGAGGACTAGGCTGATTCTGTAACTGAGCTCTTGTGAATAAGATTGCCATGTGGGCATTTCTATTAACTAGATCACTCCATCTGTCTACCCCATGAAGGCACAGGGCCATGCAGATGTTCTTTGTTTACATTAACATTATTTTAATGGTAGAAAAATTTAGCTCACCAAATAAAATTATAAACAAGGAAATAAAACTCACCTATAACATTTCTCGAAATAACAATTTCATCCATCTAGGGTGTTTGACTCTCTGATTGCTTGAGGGTAAAGCCACACACTGGGCCCAAGTGTATAGATGTGTGTAAATGTCATGATTAATAACCTACAGACACTTTCCTTCTGGTGACTTGATTTTGCTTATACTTCCAGGACTCAGGGTCAAAAGTTCTCGTACATTAACCAGAAGTTCCATCATCCAAGTCATCTGGCTGGTTGGTCAGCTGTGACCCCATGAGGCAAAGGATGCAGAGTAAGGCACAGCTTACTGATACCAATCCCCAAGGGGTCACAGCATCTAACCCCACTTTAAAGACATAGTGTCACCAACTCCCTTGATGACTGAGAAAAAAGATAGCTGCTTTTCATCCCCGAGAAAGCAGGCCTGTGTCCTCCTCGTGACACAGGAAAAAGGGAGGGACAGACCTTTCTTGGTTTTTCTAGAACCTAAAAAGAGAACCAAGTTTCTGTTCTCCCTTCAGAGTGTGCTAATTTGTTGTGTTAACACTCTTCTCACAAGGGGAGTGATGTTTTCCCATGCGCTAGTGCACTACTGTATCCTTTGTGGCTCATACCAAAATGTTGAAACTTGAAAAATTCACTTTGAAGCTTCATTGCAGTCTTTCTGGGGTCCTTACCGTCAGGTTTACCACAGTCTGTGACCTCTTCTACAGAAACACAGGACAGTTGTGACCAAAGCCAGAAATAAAAGCGGGGTGCTGAGTGGCCTCCCGTGTGCTTTACGACCTTCCTGAGCCTCGGATTCCTATGAATTGCAGAGTCTTACTTCCTCCCAGACAAGTCCTTGAAGCCTCTTCTGTTAAAAAATTAAGTCTGGGGGCTGGAGAGACAGCTCAGCAGTTACGAGCTCTGGCTGCTCTTCCAGAGGACCAGGGTTCAAGTCCCAGGGCCCTCATGGTAGTTCACAACTGTCTGTAACTCCAGGATCCAACACTCTCACACAGACAGACATGCAGGAAAAACACCAACACACACAAAATAAAAATAAATGACAAAAAAGGAAAAGAAACTAAGTCGGTGGCCCATCCTTCAATCTGCCTAGTGACTTACTCTATGAAAAGTTTTGAGTATGGGGTTCAGAGGCAGCACAGAGACAGACTTTCCTTTTAACTAAGAGATTCCTTAGGAAAATTACTGAGGCCACAGACAGACAGACAGACAGACAGACAGCAGCATGGTGGGGGCTCTGGTGGGAGTTCGGGCCCACTAGGCAGAGTGTGGAACTTTGTATAGGTCTCAGAGGAAGGAGGGGCTCCATGTCCCATAGCTGATAAGCATTCGCAGAGAGACTTTTGCATGCTGGGGAAGGAAGGTGGGATTCCGAGGACAATGGAGAAGTGGATCGGACAGCCACATCCTCTTGAGATGCATTTAGTACATAGGCAGCCCTCTGAGTCTACCATGTCCCAGAGTCAGGCAACCTGAGGGCCTTAAACTTCCTTGGGGACACGAGAATGCCACATGCCAGTCTCCTGGAGTCTAGGTACCCGGAGAGTCTGTTAGAGAGTTGGAGATCCACAGACTGGTTCTTGGCAGTGGGGCTTGCCATCTTTTCAACAGCAGCTATAGGAAAGAAGCTATTATGAGGAGGCATGCTTGGTTCGATTAAGCCCTCTTTATAAACCTGACACCATAGTCAATGCCACAAGTCAGAAGCAAAAGCATACTTGTTCTGAGGCCAGATGAGAAGAGGAGCCAGGCCAGGCTAGCTGGCTCAGGAATGAAAGACCACAAGGACCAAGCCATACCAATGAAGCTGTCATACCCCAGTCACTCACCAGATACCAAACTCTATCTGATCTCACAGTGTGACTGAACCCTAGCAAGACCCAGGGGCCACTCAGGACCAGCCTTGAC